ATCAAAGCAACATGAGCTTTTCGCACATTACTGGTATCCACACATGAAGCAGCCTTATACTGAATCCAGGCCATTGGTCCATCAAGGTCAGCATCGTCTACTTAGACTGGCAGCTGCTTTCCAGGCTGAGGTCTATCGCATCACCTACAGCCCGGTCCTCTTACCTGGAGATGGCGGGGATTGAACCTGGGAACCTTCTGCATGCAAAGCAGACTCTTCCACTGAGTCACGACCAACCCCTCCCCTTTTCCGCTTAAAAAGCTCAGCTCCTGGTCTGTACCATGTGTGGTCACACTTAAAGGTCCACTGGAGGGCTCTTCAGCTGGATAAACTGACTCCAGAGTGGGGCACATCCATCGTTAGAAACCCCCCCGCCGCTCCACCCACAAAGAATCCTGTTTCATTCCTGTTTTGCTAATGAGCTCGGTGACACACTGACGTTCAAAGGCAACGATTTAATGCTAAAACATTTCCTTTTTGATATGTACAAAACATTTGAACGTGCAATGAAGTGCTTCGTGGGCAGGGGGCCACCTTCCCCTTGCGCTCTGCAGAGGTCAAAATGTCCAGTGGCTCCTGCCGCCGGTCCTTGGGCGGAGGCCAACGCCTGCCCTGTCCCCGGGGGCTGAGTGTCTTTCAATAATACTTACCCCAACGAGAAAAGGCGCTGTTGAACTTTCTGTACAAGTCCAGGATGAAGTGCTAAATTAAGCCTCCTTGTGGGCAATTGTCAGAAGTAGAATTTCAACCTGAGCGCTCGAGAGCAGAGCCCTTGAGGGGTTTCGAGAGTTGGTGCCAGATCTCGGAAGGTGACCTTTGTCTCTTGGCCGCGGGCTGCGAGTGGATGGCCGCCTTCGAGTGACCGAGGCTGGCCGAGAGCCCTTAAAGACCTTCCCAAACCAGTGATCTTCTGAACAGGGTAAGGAGCAAAGATCCCCTGGGATTACAACCAATGTTTCCTCTAAGCTGCGGAGTCTTGTGAGCAAAAATTCTGCTTTGTGAGCTACTGGCATTGAAGTTGTGAGCAAACAATGTAGCTACTGCAGAAATTAGTTTGCTCTGGAGCCGTCCTTCCTGAGCGAAGACAAAAATCTGCGAGCTGGAGGCTAAAAAACTGTGAGCTGGCTCACACTAACTCAGCTTAGAGGGACACACTGAATTTACAACTGATCTCTCGATGGCAGAGGTCCGTTCACCTGGGGGAAAAGGCCACTTTGGAAGGGGGATTCCGTGACATTCTACCACACTGAAGTAACTCCCTTTCCCTGCATCCCACCCCCCTCGAGATCCACACACCCCAAATCTCTAGGCATTTCCCAACCTCGAGCTGGCAAAATTACCTGTGAATATAATGATCTGCAGATCGGGTTGCCGACTCTAGCCTGGGGAATTCCTGGAGATTTGGGGGCGGCGCCTTGGAAGGGCAGAGGTGGTATGGGAAAGGAGTTCGGTAGGGAGACGATGCCTTCCAAAAGTCCTGCCTCCTCCAGGGGAACTGATCTCTGTCATCTGGAGCAGGGGTCACTTCCTGTGGGAGCGCACAGGAGTGGAGCTCCGGCAGTAAGGAGACCAGGGGGCGGGCACATGCAACGAGCCCCCCCCCTGCTCACGGCAGCCCTCAGTTGGGCCACGAGGAGCAAGAAGCAGCCAAGTTGCAGAGCCCCCCCTCCCCGGCCCGCCTTCAGGTACAAGCTCTCTCTCCTCTGTGAGGGCAGATCTGCGCATCCCCCCCCCCATAGCTAGCAGTCCAAAACAGACCAGTGGAGCCTGAGCGGTGGGGGTGTTGCCTTCTGACACCCTTCCGGTGATGTCAGGGGGTGTGGCATATGCAAATAGGTTATGCTAATGAGTTACGCTAATGAGCTCCTGCACCTCTTTTTCTACGAAATGACCCCTGATCTAAAGGGTAAGTTGTGACCCCCCCAGGAGATCTCAAGGCCCCACCTGGAGCTTGGCAACGCTATCTGCAGCGCACGTCAGCCACACACGGTGATTGCATACTCACAGAGTTGGAAGGGACCTCCAGGGTCATCTAGTCCAAACCCCTGCACAATGCAGGAAATTCACAACTACCCTCCCCCCCCAACCCCTTGTGACCCCTGCTCTGTACCCAGAAGATGGCAGAAAAACCTCCTCTGGGATTCCTGGGCAAACTGGCCTGAAGAAAATGGCTTCCTGACCCCAAAGTGGGGATCAGCATTTCCCTGGGTATGTAAGAAAGGGCCACAAGAACTAAGCACTGAGGCAACCCTTCCTGCCCTCCCTCTCATGATCTGCCCAAGTCTGCAGAATCGGCATTGCTGTCAGATGGCCATAAATGGCTACTCAGGACACTTAACTCAAAATGATATGGAAACTATCACACTCTCCTTCTCAAGTCAACAAGGTCTAGCACGAAATGCCATTTGACTATGTCAGCCAAACCTTCCTTTGTTGGGCAAAAGCAAGGGGTAGTCTTGGCCTCTATGCCTTGCTTGTAAGCCTATCAGGGCACTGTTGCTTCTTGTGAAACAGGAGACTGGAACAGATGGCCCACCAGTCGGTAGGGTTCAAGTGAAGGGTTTTTTTTCATATCATGGACAAGACGCAAGGTCAGTTTTTAGCTGCTTAGTGCCTTTTTAAGACAAAGGATTTTGCTCTGCTGTCCCTGTACAACCTTTGCAGGGCTCGGCTTGCAGCCGAGAGAATGGACCGCATCGATGTCTACTTGGAACTCCAAGCTAAGCAGATTTTCAGCCCAGGCTCTTCTTGTGCCTCAAAAGCAGCTTCTCTAACCACTGCAATCGTCACCGGCTACCTTTCCCGCCTCCCTTGCTCCTAGCGTCGACGGATTCCCTCGAGTAGCAAGACGCCTCCCCAGGGCTTTTTTTGTAGAAAAAGCCCAGCAGGAACTCATTAGCATAATAGGCCACACCCAACAGCAGAAATTCATTTGCTTATTAGGACACACCCCTGACAGCACAGCTCATTAGCATATTAGGCCACACACCCCATGTTCGCAGAAGTGTGGTCATCCAGACACATTCACCTTTTGCTTCTTATTCTGTTTACCGTGTTTGTTGTCCAAACCCAGGGCTTTTTTGTAGCAGGGACTCCTTTGCATGTTAGGCCACACACCCCCAATGTAGCCAGTCCTAATGAGTTTCTGATGTTGGGTGTGGCCTATTATGCTAATGAGTTCCTGCTGGGCGTGGCCAACTCGGGAGCCAGCCGGAACTCCGTTCCTGTGCGCTCCGCCCCAAAAATAACCCTGCGCCTCCCCCTCCCACTGCGGTTCCCTGCCTGCTGCGACAGAAAATTCCTCCGCAAAATGGGGGGGCCTTAATCAGCATCCCCTACATGATGCCGTCACTTTCAGCATGACCCCACAGTGGCATCATCACATCAAGTGACGTTCTAGTATTTGTCCCAAACTCTATAACCACAGAGTTTAAACCCCCCGCCTTTCAGGCGTATGCTAAAGTGTCACACACACACCCCCAGCACAATCGTGGCACTTTTGGGTCACAGTGGAAGTGGTCATTGCACCAGGGATGCAGACGGTTCCCACCTCCCCCATTCCCCACCTGTTGCACTACATGTCCCTATCGTGATCTGGGCTGTGCAAGCAGGGCTGGCTCACTCACTAGGCGAACTAGGCGATCGCCTAGAGCGAGCTGGCCCTTAGGGGTGCCAAGCTGCACCCAACCCCGTACTCTGGGAGTTTCTTGATTATTTGTGTTTTTCATTCTTCCTAGAATGCATTTATTTTTGAAAATTGGTGGGCGCGTTGCGGGGGGGGGGGGGACAGAAGGGATCCTCGCCTAGGGTGCAAAATAAGCTGGGGCCGGCCCTGTGTGCAAGCAAAGGCCTAGCAGGCCCAGGGAGCCTGAATAGCAGTGAGAGGAGGCCAGGCCTACAACTCCCAGAAGGCCCTGAGAGGTTTTGGTGCCAATTTTATCCAGTCACAGAGAAAGGGGACGTATGACAAAAGAGCTGGTACAGAAGAAGAGCTGTTCTTTCTTCCAAGAGAGCAGGGCCAGAGGGAAGGCTGCTGCTGGGAGAGACCCTCGCCCTGAGAGGAACGGTGAGTAGACTCAGGCCCAACGTGAGACAGTGAGCTAGGGACTGGTGGAGTCTAGTCGCGTTAGGGCATTTGGTGTCTTTTCTCTTCACCCACGTATCGTTATTGTTCTTGCACCTTGTTTGCTTCCCACATTGGGCTGACCTCCTGTACAAATAAACCTTTTATTTGTTGTTGGCTTTGCCTAGTCCTCACACCTATCATTCGGCCAAATAAGGGTGGTCTGGAGGTTGGGAGGGCGCTCTGGGCCTTCTCAAGGGATCCCGAAACCAGAGTGGTGGCAGCGTCAGGTGACGCCCCACCTGAGCCGTGACAGTCCCCCTGATATCTCCTCAGCCAGAGAAAGCGAAGTGGGAGTCACCTTGTGCACCTGAGATGAATTAGTACTCTCTGCAGTCTCTGAACCTTGACACGTTCGCTCCGCCCTTTGACCCCACTGGGCCTCACCCCCTTGGCCCCACTAGTCCTGCTCCCGGAAGGGGGGCACTTCTTGAGCCCAAGTTGTGTCTTTTGCCAGGTCCATGTCTTCCAAAAGCTGACAGCTCTACCAGTCTGGTCAATCCGGCCTCTTACAGTCTCTGCCAACCTTTGGGATCAGGACGGAAGGCTTCTAGTTGAGAAGGCCGGCCCGGACCTTTGCCCCCCTTCTCTTGGAATGACCAGATGACACGGAGACATCGGAAGGTCCGTGCGGAAGAGCACAGAGAGACAGCTCAATAAATAATCTGGTCTAACGCAGCCTCTTCCAGGGCCACACTCAACACGGGAACGTGGCTTCCATGGATCCTAGCATTCACCAGGGCTTCGGGAAACACCCAAAGGAAGGGCTGAGAGAAGAAGGTCCGCTGCTGAGTTGCCATCACCCCTTTCAGGTTCTGGGCAACCAGGAAAGTATCTGAAGATGTCCTTTGGGGATCACCGCTCTGCACAGCCGGTCTTAAACGTAAGCGTTTTTGCCATACTTTCCGGCGCTGCTGGCGTTAGAATCCACACGGGGGCGGGCGGGCGTCAGGTTCGGGGCCGACGTCGCACTCTTCGTGCCCTTGTATGGATAGTTGTAACTGTCGAGACACAAAAGGGGAGAGGGGGAGGAGCCAGAGTTACCTTTGGGTCAGTTTCGATATCATACTCACACAGGTTAAACATTCCCGAGCACCAGGGGTCATGGGTGGAGGCCATCAATGGATGATCTCCAGCCCGTTTCTCACTTGAGAGCCGAAGAGCCACAGCAGGCTGGCCTCTGGCTCTCGTTTCATACTTCCCCTCTACCTGCCTCTGCTGGGCCATGCCCACTGTGGTTAGGGTTGCCAGCCTCCAGGTGCGGCCTGGAGATCTCCTGGAATCACAACTGATCCTCAGAAGAAACAGATCAGCAGCACAAGGACACTCGCAGTGCAGCTGAATGTCAGCTACGTGTACACAAGACAATATTGTTAAACCATCTATTCACTTTAAAATACATTCAGCTAAACAGAACCTCGCCCTAACATGTCGAAAGCTCACTACCCAAGTTGTCCATGTACCTGCCTCTGCTGGGCCATGCCCACTGTGGTTAGGGTTGCCAGCCTCCAGGTGCGGCCTGGAGATCTCCTGGAATCACAACTGATCCTCAGAAGAAACCGATCCGCAGCACAAGGACACTCGCAGTGCAACTGAATGTCAGCTACGTGTACACAAGACACTATTGTTAAACCATCTATTCACTTTAAAAGACATCCAGCTAAACAGAACTTCGCCCTAACATGTTGAAAGCTCACTACCCAAGTTGTCCACGACCTCATTCCCAGACACGTTGCGGTTGGCTTCCCCTCCCTCGGGGGTCATTTTGTGGTTGTGCCCACCGCCCTCTGGCAGAATTCCAAAGGTGCCCAACAGGCTCAGAAGGGTTGTGGACCCCTGATATACACTGAGGTCCTTGGAGGAGGGATGGGATCAAGAAAGAGCCAGTCAGGTAATTTCTCAGGGTAAAGTGGCCTCTCACCCTAACTGGGAGCCTATCTCCGCGGCTTAATCTATAGACGGGGCAATGATTCATTCTTCTCCAGCAGGCCTCAGGCAACCACACACACAAAATCCTGCCTCACCTTTTCTCCGGCGGAGAGTGAACCCGACACGAGCTGAACAGGAACCCGCCACCGATGATCGTCAGCAGCGATGCGCTCCAGCCCAGGTAGAGGGCGGGTCCAATTTCATACCTGGCCAATCAAAGAAACAATGTCAGCACCCGGCCCAGAAACATCTGACAAAGGCTCCATTCCACCTAGCACTGCCAAACCCCTGGATGGGGGCCTGGAGATCTCCTGAAATTACAATTGGTCTTCAGGCCACAGAGATTAGTTCACCTGGAGAAGATGGCCACTCTGGAAGGTGGACTCTATGGCGTTATACCCTGTGGAGGTCCCTCCCTTCCCCAAACCCCGCCCTTCTCAGGCTCCACCCCCAAAGCTCCAGGAATTTCCCAGGCAGGAGTTGGCAACCCCAATTCCACCCAGAAACATTCAAAGACAGAAGAGGAGGAGATTGGATTTATATCCCGCCCTTCACTACCCGAAGGAGTCTCAGAGTGGCTTACAATCTCCTTTTCCTTCCCCTCCTCACAACAGACACCCTGTGAGGTAAGTGGGGCTGAGAGAGCTCTCTCAAGAACTGCCCTTGAGAGAACAGCTCTGAGAGAACTCGTGACTGACCCAAGGTCGCACCAGCAGCTGCATGTGGAGGAGTGGGGAATCAAACCCGGTTCTCCCAGATCAGAGTCCTCGCTCCTAACCACTACACCAAACTGGTTGAAGCAATTCATAAATGTCTCAATGTAGGTGCAGGAATGACCCAAGGGGGGGGGATTTAATGATTACAAACTTTGGCAACTGCAATGGACCGCAAGAACTTTGCAGCCCAATAGAATCCGAGTATCAGGTTGCAACAGCTCTGGGAACACACAGGGGACAATTAACCCAGTGAAGGCCCATGACTCTTGCCTTTGTGTAAGGCAAAAGAGACCAAGGGGTGCATTCTCTTAAGTCACCAGAGTGTGTGATAAGAGTTCACCGTTAAGCAAGATGTGTAGGCTGCTCAATGGTTGGACGGAAGGAGAGACAGATGACAGGCAGATACTAAGCCGTGAAAACAGCACCAAAGAGATTATTTCCCTTCTCCCTCAATTTCAGTATTTTCCTATCTCTCTTCCCCTGTCTCTATCAGCTGTCCTGTTGCAAGACTTACTTTGTGCCGGCAAAGAGCGGGTTAAAGAAGTCTCGGGTAATGTTGAAGGCGTACCAAGAGATCGTCACCATCCCACAGAGACCTAAGCAGGCAAGGGAAGAAGGAAAATGAAAGTGAATTCAGAGGTGGAAGTCGTATTGGGGCTGCAGTGTTTACCTGTGAGCTAAAAAAGAATGGCTTGGGCTAGCTGACGCAAGCAGCGGCAGAGCCCAGCCATCACCACTAGAGGGAGACAAAACCTTCCTGGGAAACAACCAATGGGAGCGCTGTATAGCAAAGAGAAAAGGGGACAGCTTCCCCATCTACACCCCAAGGAAACGCTATCCCTTGAAATTATTTTATGGTTGTGGCTGCAAACAATGTTGTTGTTATTATCATTCGGCATTGTGTGTGGCATAGCCAGCAGATCCTAAGATTGTCCGGCAGCCAGACGTTCTAGCTCTTTTAGTGTTATGTACCACTAGGTGGCGATCTAGGCTTGTTTTTAAAGCAAGAGACGTTTCAGAGGTGGCTTCCCATCGCCTGCCTCTGTGTCACGACCCTGGTATTCCTTGGAGGTCGCCCATCCAAGTACTAGCCAAGGCTGACCCTGCTTATGCACATTTTCAGCTGTGGATCTCCCTCCTTTGGCATTTTTGGGAGGGACTGCTGCAAAAGGGAACGAAAGCACTCATCTAGTCAGGAACAATTACCCTGAATAGGCCCTCAGATGTATTTATTTATAGAATCATAGAGTTGGAAGGGGCTACACAGGCCATCGAGGCCAAATGCCTGCTCCACCCAGGATCAGCCCAAAGCATCCTGTGTAATAAATAAATAAAGCAATTATCCATTTGTATCCTGTCTTTCTCCCCTAAGGCAGGCCCAAAGTGGCTCCCATCATTCTTCTGTCTTCCGTTTCATCCTCACAACAATCCTGCAAGGCCGAGTGACTAGCCCAAGGTCCTCCGGCAAGCTTCCACGGCAGAGCAGGGATTCGAACCTGGATCTCCCAGATCCCAGGCGAACATGCTGACCACTGCGCCACTCTGGCTAGGATCAAGAAGTGACCAGACCCAGGAGCAGAAGGTGACTGGACCAGGCAGCACGGCCCTCACTTCCAATGAACTTCCTCTACCTTCAGTGACCTCGACATGAAGCCATGATGAAGGGCCATGACTTCATCCCTTTCCTGAAATGCCCTAGAGGGCCGGGACTGGTCTGTAAAGGAGACAGAAGCCCCGGGCAAAAGAAAACCTGGAAATGACAGCCGTGACTAGTTCTGTGGGGACCTAGAAGATGGCGGCCCTCTCTGCCCGAGGGTCCCTCTTCGCCAGACTTACCGGCCAAGACAAACATGCAGCCTCCGACGACGGCCATCTTCGCCTTCACGTTGGGGTTCTCCTCTGCGACTCTGCTGCACTTGATCCCCACCATGGCACAGAGGAGCCCCAAGAAGCCCAGCACCAGCGCGGTGATCATGAGGGCCCGGGAGGCCTGCAGGTAGGCTGGAGGGGAGGAAGCAGAGCGTTGTAAGATTCCAAAAGTCCCTGCCCTAATCCTTCTTAATTTGCGGCCCAAAACGTGTATCCAGAAGTCGATAAGAGAACTGATTTCAGTACTTTTAACTGCAGCGAAGTGTATCATTGCAAAGAATTGGAAAACCCAGTCTGTCCCCACTATAGACCATTGGTACACTAAACTATGGGAATATCTGATTGATGACAAAATTGCTGAATGGTCCGCCCAGCATAATCTAATCGAAAGCACTCAAAGCCCAATGAACAAATGGAAGGTTTTGCTAGCTAAACAAAACAGGTTTATGATGCACAGGCCACGTAATCCTTGGACAAATGCCTTGCCACTGTACATGTTTCATTAGGTTAAATTGCGGGTTACTGATACTGCATAACCTTTAGTTTTGTTGTTAGTTGTCTTTTAGTTTGATGCAGCTATAGTTATGTTGTTTGTCAACAAGATACTGTTTGGAAAGTTAACTTCTCCTTTTTGTTGTATGTTGATATACTGTAATAAAATAAAATTTATTGTATGTTATTGTATGTTGATATACTGTAATAAAATAAAATTTAAAAAGAAAAGAAAGCAGAGCTGCAGTTCCAGATCACCTCAGCATCGACGCAGGCCGGACTCAACACAAAGGAGGGGCTCGGGTAAGCAACAACAGCAGGCCTGGCCACGAAGCCACGGGAAGCCCTTGCTGCAAGCTGCAGATTCCACACAAGTGAGGCCATTTCCCAGACTCCACAAATAAGCTCCATTTTAGAGGAAAGGGTGGCATTTACAGAATGGCTTCCCCGTGTGGGAAATTGTACTCGAGGAGCCCGTTATCTCTAGCCTCTCTCTGTATTTTGCCATGAAGTTACAGCCCCAAAAGGTTTTCAAGGCAAGAGATGAGCGGAGGTGGTTTCCCATGGCCTGCCTCTGCATAGTAACCCTGAACTTTCCTTGGAAGTCTCCCTTCCAGACATATCCTTGGAAGTCTCCCTTCCAAGTGCTAAGCAGGGCAGCTTCCGAGATCTGATGAGATCGGGCTAGACTGTACTAGACTGTCAGGGCATCCTCTAATTCTACGCATTTGAGTTGCTTTTGTTATAAAAATGGCGAAACAGACATCTGTGAGTGCCAAAGCGGCAGGATTAATTAATTAAATTTATTTAAATTAATTATTTTATCTGATTGGCGATTGATTAATTGTCAGAAATGTATAGGCTGCCTCTGCAAAAGTCCAGCTTGAGGCAGCTTTCAAGTGAAACGCTTTTACTGTTGTTTAAAGGAGGCAGCTGTGATACAAATTTCAGTAAATGCTCATAAAAATACCCCCTTTTTTAATTCAGTGGGTTTCTCCGGGTTTAAGAGAAAACCACCTTGCAATGCATTCCACAATGCTTTTTGTACTCATTGTCTGTGGAAATCTCAGAGTAATGTGTTGGAGATGGTGATTATTTTCAGAAACAAATCTGTTTAAAAAATGGAAGAAATTGGGGATACAGGGATGACATATATTTCGGGACAAACGGATAACGGTTTGTCATGGTTCCCTTGGCGGAGAAAACACTAGATATCCGTGTTTCTTTCTCTGTACACACACGAAACTGCCTTATACTTCCCCTCTAAAATGAAATACCGTAGTCAGCAGGATTCGAACCTGCGCGGGGAGACCCCAATGGATTTCTAGTCCATGGATTTCAAGTCTGCAGCCTGTGCTTCATTTACAAATACACAGTGTTTTCCTTTCATTCAACATTTCACTAACCAAATGAGACAAAGTTGTTCCCAACATGGAGTTGGAAACCCTAAACCTTGCTTAGGATAGTATTGCAAATAGACCAAAATGCTTAATGCTTTCTGTCCTATCAAAGGAAGTCTTGTTTTTATCACTGAACATCACTCCTCCTAATAGCAAACACTAGGTCCTATAAGCAGGACAGTGCTACAGAGCCTTCCACACAGGAGGGGAGGATTTCCGTGTGTGCAGGGGAGTCCTGGACTCGAGGGGAAATGTCGGTTTATATTAAAAAGCCAACAGTTTCCCAGAAAGGACTGGGAACGCTCTTTGCCCCCAAAATCCAAGGAATACTGAGTGCAATTGAACATTCTTTGGGGGGGGAAAGGATGGGGCAGATGGGAAAACTGTTCTGACTGAACCTCTAACAGCACAGAGCAGGGGTGTCAAACATGCGGCCCAGGGGCCAGATCAGGCCCCCGGAGGGCTTTCATCAGGCCCGCTGTGGAACTGGCCATCTCCTGCTTCCAGTTCTGCTGCTCCTGCTGCATCATAGCTTGCTTCGCCAGACTCTCTTAATCACTCAGCCATTTCATGTTTTAACCGGGGTCCTAGACTCAGAGCTCGGAGCATGAGATTTCTGTGCTGAGCGTCAATAAATCAAAAGTAGGTTTGCAGCTTACGGAGCTAATGTTTTAAGCATGTTTTTATCTTAAGTAAAAAAAACCCACCCTATTTTAAGTTTTTAAAAACCCCTATCTCCGCTACCTGGCATTACATTTTAGGACACACATGGCCCGGTCCAACAAGGTCTCATTTATGTCAGGCCCGGCCCTCATAACAAATGAGTTTGACACCCCAGGCTAGAGTTCCAGACTAGGATCTGGGAGTGTGTTTGGGAAATACCTGGAGATTTGGGGGTGGAGCCTGGGGAGAGTGGGGTTTCGGGTGGGGGGAAACCTCAGCAGAGCACGGTGCCACAGCCCTTCCTCCAAAACAGCCATTTTCTCCAGGGGAACTGATCTCCGTGGACTGGGGACCAGTTTTAGTTCAGTGGGATCTCCAGAGGCAGACCCCCCCCCCCACAGAGGCCAGCAAACCCTCTCTGGGAGCCCCAGGTTTGAATCTTCACTCTGCCGTGGAAGCTCGTTTGCTGACCTTGAACCAGTCACACGCTTTCAGCCTAACCTGCCTCACAGGGCTGTTGTGAGGATAAAAAGGACGAAAGGGGAATGATGTCAACTGATTTGGGTCTCCCCTGGGGAGAAAAGCAGGGTAAAAATGAAGTAAATCAGTATCCAGGAATGGGAGTAAGGGGTAAAAAGGGGGTCAGTGATTACAGTGGGGGCACATATCCTCCGGCCCCGGTTCGTACTCCCAAACTCTCCAAGGCTGTGATCATACACACGATTAACCCCGCGAATAGGCGCGAATGCCGGGTGGATTTAAAGGATGCAATCAGACATCTGGGAAGCGCCCCACAGCTGTCTGCAACCCGTTCTGCTCAACAGCAGAAGCAGAGTTAAAAGACACCGGGGGAAATCCTGTCGTTGACGGGTTGCGACGGGCCACGGATGGACTTTCCCATGGTCTGATCGCTCCAGCGCGCTCTCATGGCATCGGGATGGTCTGATCAAGCCATTCCCGACTCCGTGCCGTTGTTTTTTCCCCCCTTCACCATATGCGCATCATCGCAAACTCCACAGGGAGCCCTCGGTGCAATTCATTGATCCCTCGGTTAAGCGCATGGGGGGGAAATGGCACAAAACCCCCCCAACTCACCCGCAGTTGCGTCTGATCACGCACTGACGGACTGCGCCCGCAGCTTCAAAGGGAGGTGTGATCATGCAATGGCGGGTCAAATTCCTCCGGAGGAAATAGCCTCGTTTCCCCCTCCCCCCCATTTTTTCTGGCTCGTGTGACCGCAACCCAATAGTGCATGGAGAAGAAGAGGTTAAAAATAGCTCTCTCCCCACACTGATCCACAGGATCCAAAGTAGATGAGTAACTTTCTTACCATCCAGGCCCAATCTTCAGCAGCCACTGCTGTAGAACAACTGTAGCAGAGACCTAATTTTCTGAATTCTCAGCTAACTTAACCGAAAGATATTCACTGAAGCTCAGCAGTGTATTTTGGTGGGGGAATATTCCCATTGTTTGGGGCCCCAATTAGTTGTCAGGGTGGACTGGGGAGGGGGAAAGGGCCCCGTCCCCAGCCTGCCTTCACCCTGCCACCCCCAAAGGAGGGAAGACACAATGCCCGGCCATCTACAAGCAGGAGAATGTGCCTGGTTATGCTGCTGGGCCGGCAAACTGGCCAGGACCAGCTGTCACAGTGGTGGCCAGGAGCGCCTTTCACCAGCCAGTGGCATTTTCTGGACAAAAAAAGATCTTGCCACTGTGGCACATGCCTTGGTAACATCTAGACTAGACTGCTGCAGTGCACTTTATATGGGGCTGCCCTTGAAGACTGTCTGGAAGTTACAATAGGTGCAGAATGCAGCAGCCGGAATTCTGACTGGTGCGTGTCATTAGGGACCACATCATTCCACTCTTGTTCCACCTCCACTGGCTCCCACTTCGGGTCCAATTCAAGGTGCTGATACTGAGTTTTAAAGCACTGTACAGCTTGGGACAAGCATACCTTAAGGACCAGCTAGTCTCACCTATGAACCTACACAACCGCTCTGGTCCTCTTCAGAGGACCTGCTGCAGGTGCCCCCGCCATCTGAGGCTAGAGGGGTGGCAACCGGTGTAAGGGTCTTCACAGTCGAGGCAAAAGAAAATGTGGAACTCCCTCCCCAGAGGGACATTCGCCTGTCCCCTTCTATCAGTCTTCCGCCAACGGGGGGAAGCCTTTTTGTCGCAAGCGGAGTGAGAAAGCAGCTTTAAAATGTTTCCCATGAATAAGCGGCACCGAGCAGGATTTGAACCTGGATCTCCGGCGCGCCAATCAAACGGTCTAGCCCACTGCACCACACCGTCTCTCTCAAGGGCACAGACTTCTGCCTCGGGAGGTCATCTCGGGTTCTGTGCACTCCTGACACTGATGTGTATCTGGGCAAGTGTTCAGCGTCTTGTGAGATCTAAATCCCTTCGGTCCATTTTCTGCTTCAGTTCCATCTCTTTGTGGGAGGAAGAAAGCCCCATTGTGCTGGAGGGGGGGGGGGGGCGCGGCAATAAAATAAACACGGAAGAAGCAACAATCGACGGGTTTTTGCCATCCCTCCCTCGCGTCCCCTGGCAGCCCTCTCTCGCCCCTGC